TATAATAAAATATATATTGAATATATTTTGTTTTGTTTTTTTTTATTCAAGATTTGAGAAGAAAAACTTGATATTCCTTTGACTTTGTGATAGTATTTAAGATTATCTGGTTTATTAGATATGATTTGATCAGTGCAAAGTTTTGTTGATATCTAGAGAAGGTGTCTAATATGATATATTATTGGCTAATAGCTTGAAAGATTAATTAGAGTTTTAAAAAGTACTAAACTGATATTGAAGTAATATCGAAATGGTATCGATCTATAGTAAATTAATATATGGGTTGTAACTTACTCATATAAATTTATAGTAAATTTAAGTATCGAATTGATATAAACAGGTATCTAAGTGATACCATTAGGAGCCCTAAAGTTAATACTAGTTTTTTTCTACTTGGTTTTACTGTAAATTGTTTACTGAGTTTTTTGCTTTTTTTTTATAAAAGTTTACTTTTTTTGAAAAAGTATTTGAAAAAAAGAAAGATTTAATTAATTTAATAAACAAAAATTACTTGTTGTTTTTTGAAGAGTTCAGATTAAGTTTTCTTGAATTGTTTCTTTTTTTTTCTTGATGTTAGAGGTGTTTCTTGTTGTTTTTCAAAAATTTTTGATCAGTAGAAAGAATTTTTTTTATTACAATTAAATAAATTTTATATATTTATTAAATTGTTTAAAAGCTATAATAATATTATATATTAATATTCATATTGTTTATTTTTTTAAAATTATTTATTAAGTATCAATATATAATAAGTTATTGAAATATTATTGTTATTGTTTATATTATTATTATTATAACATATAATATGATTTTGATAAAATATTAATTAAAATATAGTATTAGTTTTTTGATAAGAATAAGTTAATTACAAGTTTTATTAAGAAAATTTTATATCTATATATGTGAACAAAAAAATTAAATCAAAGGTTTTTTAATATAATTTTCATTAGCAAAATGTTCAAGTCATGAAAAATCCAATCAAGAATTCTATTCTTATATAGCTAAATATTTTTAACCAATTTTTTAAAATTGATTTAAATATAGATAGTAAGACAGAAAAAATATTATATTAGTATTAACAAAGTTAACTTTTTATTTTAAAGAAAAAAAATAGTTTTTTTTTGAAAAATATTAATCAATAAGTCTGTTTTAAAAAAGAATTTTTGTTCTCAATAGTAATAAAAAAAAGAAAAAAAAATTTTTAAAAGAAAAAATAATTAACAAGTCATTTATTACTTGTCTTATTAAAATTTCCTAAAAAAAAGTTTTTTAAAAATTGAAGAAAACAGAAAAATGTTTTTATAATATATATATTAGGGCCTTTTTTATATAAACATAAGTGATATGTAATCTGATTAGAAGTAAAAAAAATTTATAATAAATTAATTTATAAACAATAAATTTTAAATTAATATTTTTTATAAATTTTTATCGATAAAAAATAATATAAATTGTTAAAAATTTTACTAAACAATTTTTCGGATTTTTTAAAACCAAATATTCTAATTTTAAATTAAATTGAAATTAATTAAAATTATTAAAAAATAGAATGTTTTGCATCATATACTGCCTATTTATAATTAATAAAATTTAATAAAATTTTGTAATATATAAATTTATTTATAACAGTTAATATTTTATATAATCCCGATGTTATTTTGGTATAAACATAATTAATTACATAAATTTTATTCACATAGATATATAAATATATAAAATTTTATTATTTATGATGTAACCAAGTTATCAATGATAAATATAAAGTGAAAAAATTTCAAAAAAAAAATATATATATAAATAAATTTAGTTTAAAATTCAAAAATTAATCTATACACTACATCTTATTTAATATTTTTCATTTTGTTTTACGCCTTCTATGATTAGCATTGATTGTACTTCAATTTTTAGCTTGAAATGGTTTTCGATCAAATATTAAATCTATTGTTTTTTTAACAATATATAAATATCAACGATTTTAACAACCGATTGAAATTAGTTAATCCTAAATAAAAAAGAAGTCAATAATATTTTTTTTCATAAAATATTATGTTCGATGGGAAGCAACAAAAAAATTGAATACGATACGATATGTTGATCCTTGTTTTTCACGGTGGGAAACGGCGAGCCTGTCGCTTGCACACAGGTCTGATTGCGGCACGTTGCACGGCAGCTAAGTAGGCCCACCATGCAATATTTAGCTATATGGTTTGTGTTAACACTAACACTATTTTTTTTTCTTGTAGGCGAAAGAGGCAATTGTATCTTTGTCCTTAGGTCACATGATCACGGTCGAAACCAAAATATAAAACCGGGAAAATGGAACACACAGAGACTTATCACACAGATAAAGTTTATCCTCTTTATCCTATTCCATTATATACCCACTATAGCATCGTGTGAGAAATCACTCCTATTTCCCTATAACAATAGTTTAAATTTTTGAATAATAAAAATTCATGCCCGCCTTTGAAAATAATTACCCACGTGAACAAAAAGATTTTATATAAAATTTTAAGATAATTGCGATGATTTAAAAGAAATTTCAAATAAAAGGAAAATAATTTCTGACATGTATGTTGTACATGTAGATTTATATTTATAAAAATAAACACGGCATAGTAGATACGATGGAATATATAGGAAGTCGAATTTTTTACCTAACATTATAATACTACAGTTCGAATATTGGAGTATGCACTAATTATAACGCTTGATAAATATAGTATAGAGCTTTTAACCTTGATTTTCAGATATGTACTTACGCACAGGCGCATATATTATATGTATATTATATCAGTGTGTGATTTCCTTTATTGGTTACTAAAAAATTCGTTTATCCTTCATTCAAAAATATTTCCGCTCGAATTGTTATATTACCAAAAGTGGTTAGATTCATTTTTGCCTCGAGAAAATCTGCTCTTGTTAAATTTAGGCTAGATAATTATTACGTACTTGCATTATAATTTTGGAAGTACTTCCGCCCAGTTGCGCTCTTATTTTGTTAAAACATACTAGACGACCGTTAAATGTTACTCAGAATTCAAGAATTGCACAGGTTAAGCATGTAAATACATACATACACACATACAAAAAAAATAATTTTTTTTTGATTTGACAAATAGTAGCACGAATTTAAATGATGATAAACAACTCCGATGATTAAGCTGATTCCTTCGTAGAAAGATATGAAACGGAGGTAAATGGTATGAATAAAGAATATAGAACAAAGTATTTTAGTCATTATATTGTTAATCGTAAAATATAAACGAATGTTTCTGAATGAAAAATCTGTAGCACAGAGTACGTTGCGATGTTTGTATCAATAGAATCTAGCTTCATTTCAGCACGCCGTATATGCGCGTATCTATAGGCGCTCTGATGGAGGTCGCATTTTTTAGAGTCCAAAGAATTTAGTTAAGCCATACTATGGTTAACATATGTTATTTTATTGAGTATCGTACCTGCTTTTTGTGCCTTGAGAATCATCATAACACAACTTAAATTTGTAATACCAGAGAAAGGGGGACCAAAAAAGAAAATAGAATAAAAAGAAAAGGAAAGAAAAGAAAAAAGAAATAAAATTTCTTTGTTCTTTTTCTAGATTATCGAAATCTAATGTTTGTCATACCGACCGATACGTTCATATACTAGTGTCACAAACGGAGTATGATAAAGTTTTTCTCCTTCGGAGAATCAAATAAATAAAACTTTCGGGAAGGAAAAAAAGAAGTTTCTTATGAGCGTATACAAACGCAAAATTGTACAAATCTTTGAAAAATAGAATTATTTCCCTTTGTGTTAAATTATTTATACGCACATTTTTCTGGGCATTTCGTCAGTCGAAATTTTCATTTGCTTATGTATATTTTTTTTGATTTTTATAACAAAAAAAATTTCATAATGCATCTAAAACGAGATCCTTTATTACGTATATAACTAATATTGTTAAAATATCACATCCTATTCATCCACATGATTTTTACTTTTTTTTTTTTTAAAAAACCATATAAGAGTAGGAAAAAACATCTCTACTAGTAAAGGAAAAAGCAAATCGTCTTTTAAAATACATAGTCAAGGAACAAGATTCTTTTTTATTATGGACACTGCGTCCCATAAACAACATGTAATTTACTTTTTTTGAAGCGAATACTATAGTTTTGTACAGGGTCACATGACACTTCTCAACAAGAGTGTTGATTGAGATAATAGCAACTGGCTGTTATCTTTTTTCGGCGAGGGAAGGAGCGGCAACAGGTTTCCATAAGCCTGTTATTGATACTGTAGTTATTCATCTAGAATTTAGAAAAACGAAAATGTATATACTGTATAATATGTACTGTATGTGTATGTGTAGAACGGTAATGTAATATAAAAGCCATACGAGTTATAATAGTTACAAATAATGTCGACCAAATTTATAGATGTATAAATTAACACTACTGTAATTATAAGTAATTTATAAATGTAATAAATGAATGATCCGTTATGGTTAGGTTGCTTTTAACCTTTTTCTTAAAATCGAATTTCTTTTGAAGAAGCAGGAAAGTGAAAGAAAACGTAGACGTTATAATTTATTTAGGCATCGTAGCACGAAAAACGGTTACAAGTAACTAATAAAAGTGGTATTGATTTTCATTTCTTTCAAAGAAATGCGTATATTTATGTGAAGGTTATTAAAAACGTCAAAATCTGAGCTAGCATAACTAGATATGTGTGAGGAACATAAACAAGAAACATCACTGGGAAATAATGCACATCAGCGATATCCCTTTCATGTAATGCTTTATCAAGAAAAATAATTATTTAAATAGTTTAGACTTCGTGATTTATCACCATATCGGTATTTTTTTAGAATGGCAAGTAAGTAATAACTTTAAAATCTGTTATACCGATACGTCAATGTTTCTGAAAACATGTGTCAAATATAAATAATCACGTATTTGAGAATACAGTATAAATAGAGCCCGTCTCTTTCTTTTTCTTTATTATTAAGATTCATCATGGACAACAAGCAAGTCCAAAGGACCTTTGATTTTACCCGACCTTTGCAAGATTTGCAACCGCCACCTGTCCCTGGCATTACTATACTTCTACGGCAACAGCAACCGAGTGTAGCCAATCTTGCTTCATCTCAGACCTCTCTGAGACGTCAGCAACAGGCATTTGCTGCCTCTGCTCCACCTCCACATCTTCCACAGCAACAGCCACCGGTTATTACTGAACTTGATTGTACTCAAAATCAAGAACAAAAATATGATATTAATCAAGGAATGTCTGAGCTGTTTGGATCTGCGCAAAAACTATTCGCTTCAAAAGAAATCAAGCATATAATTATTGATGGCGATAGGGACTATCCGTTCTAAAAAGCAACGACAAAAAAAAAAAAAGGTACATCTTCGCGAACATAACAAGCATATATATTTTTATTCACATGCAAGAAATGGTTTCCTGCATTTTGTATCGATTTTATTCTTTAAATCTAGAAGGCATGCTATATAGCTTATTTTTTAAAAAAAAAACAAAAAAAAACCAAAAAAACAACAAAAAATAACAAAAAATAAAAACAAAAAAGGTTTTAGTAGGTAACGTACTCAATGTACTTTTTATAAAAAATATAATATATTCTGCAAGATCGTACAAAAAATATTGGTAATACAATTAGGTAATCGGTGAGCTACGCCCATTTCAGTGAAACTGGAAGTCTCTAAATATTTGCGTTATATCTGCCATTTTCAGCGTCAATGTTTTTGTATCTAAATATTTGGACATTACGTCATTATGCGCTACTTTTACGATTTTTTTTATTCCTTTAAATTTCTTTGCAGGTTTATGTTTTCTACTGAACCCTTTTCATACCCAAAGATTAAGTTCGTGTGTGTAATACTGTAGATAGAGATACCCATCCATATCCCAGAACATAATTGATAAAAAAGCATGCTCAGATAATTTGTTCCAATTGATTTCTTTATAAAAAGAATAATGAAGAGGTTGTTACAAGTAACCAACATTATTGTAACACAAAAGTAATCACCAGCGATCCAACCAGTTATGATTATTGCATAAACTGGTTATAACGTTTTCTATGTTCTCCTTGTTTCCCTTAAATGGAAAACATCTTGATTTTTAAATATGCGGATTTTAAAAATATTATGTAATTCGGTAGAAAATTCAAGTGATGTCCGTTAAGAAGAATATAAGCGTATTACCGAAATATTATTATTTTGGAAATAGCATGAATAAGCAAGCATTATCAAAGCAATTCTTGCGCGAAAAAATATAATTTACTATATATATGGTTTATCTACCTCCTTTGGAATTTTTTCTAAAATCAGAACAACCTTTCAACAACGAAATTAAGAAGCGAAAAATTTAACCTGACAAAGATACAGTATAGGATGAAATAAATTCTCAGCGGATTCCTGATCACATTCTTTTTATTCGTATCCGTAAAATCAAGTATTTTTGTTTTGGAGGCTTAACTAAGCATCATTCTCACGATATCACGAAATTCATTCAACAATCATGGGCTGTCAAGAGCTAAAAGAATTTGATAATCTCGAACTTTTGCTTAATAGGTTAAACCATGATAACATAAGTCCACCAGCGCTTTGCGACCCGCTGGAAATTACAAAACGATTTAATAACAAAATCAGGTCCATGAATGCTTGGATTATATTGTACATAAATGTACTTTGTGAGGCAGAAAAGTTGAATATATATAATGTTCGCGTAATTAAAAGGGTAACAGAGATAGTATGGAACAGGGCCAACTCTGACGACAAGAGAATGTGGCGTGACCGGGCAAGAGAAGTGAGCAATTATATAGAGACAAATCAGAAATATTCACTAATGAAAATTTCGACTGTTAAAAGGTTAAATCGTAACTAAGAAACCTATAGTTAAATAACATCAATTATCTATAAGATTTAATCCACTGTAGTAATATTATAAATACTGTGATTTATTTGTAATTATAAATTTTATTCAACAATTCATTTGTTCATTAAGTTTTTTTTTTTTTAATTAACCCTAGCTCTTAAGTAATAATAAAATACATTATATAAGTCATATTTCTTCAAAATATTCAATTTTATTAGAATTTCGAATTTCTTTATGGCATGCAAAAATAAGTCGTGAAATAGTGCGTACAGTTTACAGTATTTCGCAAACCAGAAAAGATTGTGAATGAAGGTTTATCGATTAGATTTTAAAAGATACTGCACTACGGTTTAAAAAAAAGCAACAAAAAAACCCCGTAGAATGAAATACTATACTTGGCACTGTAAAGTTATATGAACTTGGAAATTAAAACTTATCGGGGTTCAATTAGGAATTCGGTCAAGATAAGCAATTTAATCTATCCTTCTTTAAATGGTGTAAACGTGTGGTTACATACACACGAAGCGCAGATTAAGTTGAAAAAAAAAAAAGGTTGCACAAAATTAGACCAAACCGTAATGTAATCGGGAAGGATCGGAACAGTCTGTACCAGAGGTAAACATTAGATTTGTTTGGGTATAGTAAGGTTGAGGTGTGGAACTTGATCAGAATAAACTGTAACTCAAGATAGGCAGCATACACACAAGGTACTGTATATCATCTCGCGTTAATCTGGCTATCACAAAACTTCCCTCCTTACTGTACTTGTAATACTCTCCCGCCTTTCTAACTTTTAAATAAACAAAAAGATCTTTTTTTTAAAGTATATTTAATATAAATATATATAATGTATATTTGATGTGACATATTTTGACACAACATATGGATTTTCTAAAATTTGTGAATTTAAAATTTTCACACATCCACCCATATTTAATTGTATTTTTTTTTTGTTTTTACGGCATTTTCTGAAATTGCAATCTAATGTACCGTGTATACCATAAATATAGTATACAGTATATGCATACAATCAAAATTAGATAAGAAAAGAAAAATTTGATTTTGGTTTAAAGAATTACAATTACTATTATTATTAATTATTGCATTCGGATATTAAAGGGTTAAGTGGCAGGCAAAATGAAGAAAAGAGGCAAGGCTATTTCCCAATGATTGAATTCTTGAAAAATTGTATAGGTTTATAACTGTATAATAAATATTAATGGACTTGAAAAAGCAACTAAGATTGGGCACGTTCACTAGAGTTTCTATTTCAGTATTTAGTTTAGGGTGACGTATTTTATTTGCTATTCCTTACAGTTGGTTTATGAAAACGGTGATATTCTGTTTTTTTTACTGAATTTGTTGTATCGTTTTAGGATGTGCACGTGTTTTGTTGTACTGATACGGATTACACAGTACATCACGGATTGACTTACACGCATACGTATACCGTATGAAATTGATTACCAGTTAATAATTCGCACACCCCTGTTTATTAGCTTCAATTGTTATTGCCATAATTGGGTAAGATCAGAGTATTTATTATGATTTATATGAACAGATACGTGAAATATGGTGAGAAAAATCAAGTATGACGTATGAGAATCTAAGGCGCATAACGCGCCTGAGGTAAATAAATAGCACTAACAAAGAACTCCAGGATGGTTCGTATAAAGTCAGCAAGTCAAAACCAGTCGAATTTAAATACGACTCAGAAGTCAAATAATGCGAGGCTTTCCTTTGGTAATAAATCAACTTGTACGTGAAACAGAAGTATCGATTGTATCTGCATCAGGTAATATTATGTAACTAACGGCGATACTTTCATCCGTCACTTGATCGACATATGCTGTTCAAATTACGTAGTGACCGCGAAATGTAACAATAAAAAAACGAACATTGTGAAATTTTCGTGATAGTACTTTATTTATATTCCAATTATTGTTATTTTTATATGTTTAATATATTTTATACAATCCAAGGAAATAAGGTGGAAAAGAAGGAGAATAAAACGAAACTTCGGTCAAATAAAAATGCCTCATTACTTACTTTATATCCTTAATCACCGTAACGGTTACGCGAATTTCTGTTAGAATTAAAAGATTTTTCGGTACACTAACTAGTCAGATAACAACAATACACTCGATAGTATCTATTGATCTAATTATATTGACATATATTTGTACAAATCCAAGCAGTGGTAATTAGACTAAATGGAGTTTGTAATCAATCCTCCGTAAATAGGGATACAAAAAATCGCATGATTATTGCGGTGGCACAGAACATTATCAGGTACCGTTTATCGTTATTTCGTATTCCCCACTCTCGAAATATGTCGGCATTTCGATAATCTATAATTTCTCCTTAAAGAAGGTCAGAAAATTCTATGAGCAACGCCTAATAGCATTTGTTAACCTTTTCGGATCTGTTTATTTGATAATTATGGATTACTGCGAATGATTTATTTAATTTTTATGCGCAGTCTATCTCGTGTAGTATTATAAATAAATAAAAAAAAAGAGATGCGTGCGAAATAATAAATAAAGCTGTCAATGACGCAAAAGAAACAGGTTGTAAAAATCTTTGAAAAAAAATCATACTAGCTATAATAAAAATCAATTTATCCTTTATGCTATAATAACTTCACCGGACACATCCGTGAAAATTGTTTATTCAAATGATTGAATCATTTTTAATTCTTGTACATAGGAAATACCGTAGTTAAAAATGCCCGCTCAAATCACGTGACTGTTGATTTTTTTGTTTTTTTTTTAAAAAAAAAATATACTAAATAACAATTCAACAGTAAAGATCAGGTCGCTTTATTAAGCCCATATTTGGGAACCATAAGTAAATGAATCGCGTTCCATTGAACATGATATGTCTAAAGCTTCTGAAGAAAAATGCATTCACGGATCCAAATAAAAACACCAATCGATTCTCGGTTATAAGAGAATCCTCGGCTGCTACCGTTCTTAAATAAGAAATAATTGGCAACTTGTTTCCACATGATCTGGAATAAAGGACAAGCGAACCATATATGCTACATGTGAAAGGAATGCAAGATAAAAGTTTGTTTATCAAGTTAATAAGTGACCAGTTATGGTTAATCCTTTCTGGCGAAGAGGTATCATACTGTATATGTATTGTTCATTATCTAATCTCACTCGAAAATCAATACCGAGTTCAGTAATAAACTTGTAAACGTTTTTACTGTTCACTAGCATAGAAGCTACGGAATGCCTTAAGATTGGATCAAAATAACGTCATAATAAACAAAAAAAAATTAAAAATGAAGAATAATAATTGCTTAAATACAACATATTGTGTCTTAATGATACACTACTTATTAAAACGAGACTTTTTGGTTTTATTTAAAAAAGATTCTTCGATAGTTATTTTTTATGACTCATAAAAAAGAACATTTACGGTATATTAGTAATAAAATTTAGTTTTTTTTTTGAAATTTACGTCATATGCTGTATATATAGCATAACGACTTTTTACATATATATAGAGCATAACGACTTTTTTACATATATATAGAGCAAAAAAAAACCTTTTGTTTTTTATTTTTTTAATTTCTCATTACAATACTTCAAAGATCCGTACCATAATGACTAGCCCACGAATTCAAGATGACATTCAAACTCTTCAAGCTCGTCATGATTTGCCAGCTGTCCCAAATGTGGCTTCAGCTCCCGCAGTATCAACGACAGTACATCGTTGTCCTTGTGCTAGTTATCAAGAAAGGCAATTCAACGTCCTTCAAGGAGTCAACTCCGAAAATACCTTTGGCTTGGAAAAGAAAGTAATTCCTTCAAAAAAATTTCAAGATGTGATAATTGACGGCGATCCAGAATATCCATTTTAAAAGCAGAGAAGGCGAAAAGAATAAAAGAAAAAATTGTCACATGATAGATTAGGATTATAAGTACAGTATAAAGATTAAGAATTTATAATTTGCCGAAAAAATAAAATTGGCGGCAAAAAAAATATTTGAGCAAGCTTTTTTATAAAAACAACAAAATATTGTTACGATCTATGCAGATCAGTAAATCGGAGTTTGCAAAAATTATTACCGAAAGAACACATTTGAGGGAAAACAAAACACAAATATTTACATCATTTATTAACGCCAAAAACAATAACAATCTCAATATACTTTATTCAACTTCAAATATTGTCCTTAATTAATTAAGGTTTACAAGTTTCTATGTTAACAATCTCTACTGTATTCTTATGTTATCAAAAACTCATAATTCCCAAATAAGAGTGTTTGGTGTCTTCTAACTAAAAATTTGATACCAAACGCTACTGAGCATCTTTTAGGGAAACGAAAATAAACTGATACAGTAAAACAAAACCTATAAATGTTAAACTCGTCTCTAATTTTACAATATATTAAATGTCTTTCAATGTTGACTATAAAAATTTTAATAGCGTCGAAAGACAGATGTATAGTTAACAGTAAAGATAATAAGAAATTTTCTTCTGTCAGAAGCGTTTGCTGGTTGTTCGTGTGAATACTGTTATTATTCTATGGCTTAATTGATATACCGAAATACAGTATAGTCGAGTGATACAATAAGTCAAACGAACTTGAAATTTAGGATACCCGAGTACATTTATTTTTATTTATAGTATTGTGTCATAAACAATAATCACCAGTGGCAAAAATTTGGCCAATTAGAAAATTTTAATATCTATGTTTCTACGATTACGTATACCCTTTACTTGTTGTCCTTAACCAGAAAAGGTTAAAAGAACCGGAATGTATAAAACTCTAAATACAGTAATCGGATGAATGAAATAAAGAACCACCTTTTGATATTTTCTTTTCTTTTTTATTAAAGAGAAGTCAACGATTTTTAGAAAATCGTATGATAAAGATCCCTAGATAAGTCCAAATATGGTGTACTGTATAAATGATAATTTATCCTCGGACTTTTTTTCCAAATTTTAGACGCCCCTTCAGCAACCAAAAAGTTTTAAAAAGGGACATTTCAATAACACGAATGCAATGGTAGAATAATTCTTAGAGGATATCTATTCACATTTTCGTAATTGCACTAACCTCTTCGTTGGTATCCGTAAATTTATGGCAATTTGACACTAACAAGTGTTCAGGAGTTTAACCAAGCATCACAAACTACACTATTATTTAATATCGTTAAATAATAAGATGGAATGTCAACAACAACAGGAATTTGAAAGTTTTGAACATTTACTTAATGGAATAGACTTAAATAACATAAGTACTCCAGCGCTACGCGATCCATTTGAGATTTCGAAGCAATTTAACAACGGAATAAAATTCATAAGCGCTAGAAATATATTGTATTTAAATGTGCTTGGCGAGGCCAAAAAGTTAAATGTAAACAATACCTACGCGATTAAAAGAGTGACGGAAATATTATGGAGTAGGGCCACATTCGAGGAAAAGAGGATATGGTGTGATCTCGCAAAACAGGTGTCCAATTTCATTAAATCAGAATCAATGTTTCCGCCAAACATTTTAAGAGTTAGAAAGTTTGATAGTAATTAGAAAACGTATCATTAATAACGGTATCCGTACAGTAAATTAATGATTTTCATAAACCTTACAACGCTACAGAAATTTCTCTTTGTAATTAATTTATCATTTATTTATTTCTTTCTTTTCTCCTTTCATCTTTTTTTTTGTTTATCATGGTTAAAGAGTGAATACGGCATAATTGTATGTTTTATCCTCGCTAAAACAATACTACTATGCCTTTTGATTAGATAAACAATTTATTATATCCTTCTTAAAGGAATAGTCGCTGATTAGTACTGGTTTAAAGTATTGTAAAAACGAAGTGCAGATTAATTTTGTATTCAATATGAACATCATAAACTTTTTTTTTGTTTAATTTACTGTATTTACTGAGAACAGATTTCTTTTATAATTGAACTTATGTATTAAATAATGACATAATGAATGCACAATAAACAAGTCAAAAAAAGGAAGATATAACTGTTATTTGAAACAGCAAGTTTTTGGAGTTTTAGAAACTATAATAAAAAACTTCTAAAGTGATAAATAATAAAATGAACAATACATATCAAAAGAATAGCGAAGGAAATCAGCATGTATGTTATCTTTTAAATTTATATGCTCATTTTTTCAATATTATTTCACCTATTTTTCTAGAAATTATTTTACAGGACGTCCGAGATAAGGAAGTGTTCGATTTAGTCTTCTGATTCTCGAGGAGTGTTGATTTAGTCGATGTTTATTCTGATCTTCACTGATTTTTCTTCATGACTAATAGCGCTATTTCCGTTTAATTGCTTGAACTTTCCCTCATCGTCTGATATAATAAACAATGCAAGTAAGAGCTTACACTTTAACTGTTCATTTATTGGAACACTAAATGTTAGAACAATGCTTCTTTTATTTTTCTTCGTTTGGCATTCATATTTATTAATACTAGGATTGTTTACATTCTAGATTTGTTTACATGCTAATCACTTGCGCCGCATGTTTACCTGCGTCATTCTCGAATTTTCCCACCGTAATTTTCTCACCATTGTTTCCACAACTACACAAATACTATCGCGACATCTTGTTACAATATACAGTATTTATTTATACACAATATTAATTAATTTATTAGCCTAACAAAGCTATTCATCTCATGGGCTACTTACGAATTTGTAAAAAGGATTCTCGTGATCATCGTGCAAATCAATGTATTTCCTTAACCTATCAAACCCTAGTTACAGTATTTAATTTTTGCTATTATTATTTCGGCGGGAAGATTCCAGTCTAACCGTCTTCCGGTATTTTTGATAATTCTACTTTAGGCTTATCGTCAGATGCATTAGATTTTATCAAGAAAATGATATCTTTCACGATATAATGTCAAAACGAAGGTAAGGATTGGTTTTTATTTGCATCATAAATGAATTATAGGAATTGTTTATATACTGTATTAGAATATTTAAAATAAATCCAAACAAACTCTATTTAAGCCATTGAAATCCTATTTATATTTCTTGTACATAATTAGATAATAAATGTAGACTAAATAAAATAGAGATCTGAAGTTTAAAATAATTAAGGCAAACTTGTGCAGAATCATAAATTCAAATAATTCAATGAAGCAAAAATTCTGACTAAAATTTACCAACCTATTGTATTCAATAAACTAATAAAAAAATTTTATTATCATCCAAAATCTTCGAGAAACCATTTACTTAAAATAAAACTTTGAAAAGAAAAAAATTGGAAAAAGTTACCGTCATCACTAGTATTAATGTAACGGGCAAACGGTGGGGCTGTCACTATAGAAGGTAAATGGAGAAGTTTGTCATTTGACTGAGGTCTCTTTTATTAACTTTGCTTTTCCAAACTTCATACTTAATTTTTCTTGAATTACACAAAATAAATTAAAAACAAAAAAAAAATGCAGCAAATAGAAAATAAAGCATATCATGGAAGTATTATGATTTTTTTACAATGTTCTTTTCATTGTCACATTTCGCGGTCTGGATCAGATCTTGCAATACTCCATCGTCGTACATTCCATGATACAGTATTCAGCACATAAGGTCGTATTTCCCTTCTATTACGCCGTTATAATGGACCCAAGTCACATCTCGCAATAGCTGGTACAGGTATGCGAGAATGACATTCACCTTCATTACCCTTTTAATGAAACAATTTTTCGAGTAGCAGTAATATGATTTTTATTAATAATAAAGAAAATATCTAGTGTGAAGTGAAAAATATTATTCTACTATTGAATGGAGTCAAAGATCCAGGAAGAAGCCTCCGAATCCACAGTATCTATCTATGTTTGCATTGTAATAAATATCTCTGGAACATGAAATATGTTTTTTTTATGAATCCGCAATTTCTCATTGACATATAATATATCTTGTTTAGGCATTTCATATTGTTTTTGGTCTAAAAACCTCGATCGTGTAATAAATAATTTTCTACTTGCATGTTGCTCACTTTTTAATATTATAAGTGGCGAAAGAAGTTGAGAAATAAATGACCCTCGAATCTTTAAAGGGACAATATAATTAATTTGCGTTTACGACAAAAAAAATCCCATCTTGCACATGACTTGATAATCTAACTTTCGGAGATTTAATTTTGCTACTATAAAAAAATTACATACGTATTACATATGACATCAATTTTTTCACTATGTCTGTACGAACTCTAGTCAGACGCCTGCAGAGTTATGTCAATGGACGAGCAGATGCATTTACAAAAGAAGATTTAGAAGCACTGAGAGTTAATTTTCAACCAGCATTTGAATCTCATGTTATTCCTAACGGCAAAGTAGAAAAATTTCCGGAACAGTATGTTTGCCCCGGAATAAACAGAGACATGCTTAGCAAAGAAAGATTCAAAGTTCAAGAAATAAGTGATTTTTCGAGTCGTGCCGTTCAATCATTCTTTAATAAACTGCATATCGTCACAAGAAACCCCCCAGGAATACTCGGCTCCCGCACCGATGCTCTGGTTGATGATCTGCTGCGTCTTGTCGGACTGAATGATTATCCTTTGCAGACTATGTAAGTACATACTGTAACTGAGAAAGTCTCTGACAATTACCTTATTCCATTAACTTTCTAAATTTTCTTTAAAATTAGACAACGACTACCATGTAAACTGAACATCTTCAATAAGCCTTGCGTTTCGGCAAAACCAGACTTTGTGGTAACCCAAGGAAAATTATCTGTAATAATTCAAGTAGTAAGTGTTTTATTTTTACTGATCGATATACTGTACTGTATTAAATTACTTAATCGTATCATTTTGGCAGGATAAAACCTTAAAAAACATTGACCCTACAAATGAGTATGGAGAAACGCAAATTGCTGCGGAGATGCTTGCTTGTGGAGATGAAAACAAACGTGAGACTGGCGAGGTTTCTGATCAGGTTTTATATGCTGTTCGCTTCATCTCCACCTATGCTACATTTTACAAGGCTGAGATTCCCAAGGACTACTGGTACGAGCTTGGTAAAGGTTTGCCGAAAAATTATTCAGTTGCAATCAAAAGATGGCCCGGTGAGAATAAAAAGCTAAGTGGTCTTGATATTGCAAACCCAAATGAAAGGAAAGCAGTGCTGATGGCATTAACAAAAATTCGTCAGTCACTTGAAGTAAAATGAGTTATTCATTTTTAAACAAAAATTTAGTGGCACGGGCGCATGTTTCTGATTAGATTTGTTCGCGCAAAATCATAAACAGTCTCTAATTAAATAAAATGATTTATATTCTTTTACTTATACTCTATACGAGTATCTTGTTTATTTCTGACCAAATGAAATTTGTTTGTAATACAGTAGCAGTATATACTATTGTGTTCTAGAAATATTATTTTTACAACAATAAAGTAAGGTCCTAAGATACGGTATCGGGTGTGATACACCGTATATACAGTGATATTTGATTACAGATCGAAATTTTTGGAATCATGTTTAACGAAATTAATGATTCCTGAATGCTATTGTGCCAACTGATGTTATGAAACCGACGCTCCCTTTTCACTTTAATGCAATTCAATACTTTTGAAAAAGATGTCAAAATATACAGTAATCTGTTAAAAAGGACAACATTCAATTCTATCGTTGGAATTTTATGAAGATATCCATGACTATTCAAATATGTACATTTAACTTGAAGTTCCTACAGATTCGAGAAACTTAACACATGCTTGAAGATATGAAACTTCATCAGGGTTTAGAACGACGACCTGAAAATTTATCAGCTGACGGATGGTAGTTACCAATAGAAAAAAAAAAGAATACCTTGAGTGATTTGAAGAATAAGTTCTAGGCATAATGGTAAAATAAGATTTAAAATCTACTCATACAAATTAAAAATAAATGATATTAATAGAATAAAAAAATAATTATTGCAAATAAATAATTACAAAATAACAAAGGAGAAGGTTATGGAAGGATACACAAAAAAAAGGAAGGAATCTTTTAGAAAACAAGAGAAGGAATTATTACAAGAATTTCCTAGAAATAAAAATCAGTCATAAAAAAATTCAACTATTCTGTAATATACTCTCAGAATTTGAAAAAATCAAGCTAAAAGAAAAAATGAACAATGAGATAATACATCTTTAAAAACAAAAAAAAATAACTACAAGAAATAATTTAACAAAAAAAGAAACCGAGAAACAAGATAAATTTGAAAGCTTTGAAATTATTTTAAAAAATTATTTTAGAAAATAAATTAGAACTTGTAATCTGTATTGGGATATAATCTATCTTTACTTGGTGTAATGATGATTGGTAAGTTTGTTATTAACAAAGAGAAAAATTGACATAACCATTATTTTGGTTTATCGATAATAATTCAAAAGAGGTGAACTTAACTTGACCAAATTTTTTCTGCTTATTTGATACATTTTTTTAACTTTTTATACAAGACATATAGGTGAAAAGTTTGGAATTTTTTAAAAAAATCAAATCTATAGAACTTTATAAGATATTAAAAGTAAATAACTTATATTACATAATGTAAAAATTTAATTTTCTTATAGGTCTTGCAGATTTCTTGGTAATAGGGGCAGATATAAACTATTGTAGATCTTGTGAGAATGATATTAATCAATGGGAATATTAATATTCTTTAATTACAAAGAGGTTCAAAAGTATTCTCTAAGCTATTATACTTGTAAATGCAAAATATTGATATACAATATGCATTAAAAAAAATTGATCTATTTTTTTTACAATAATTAATAAATATTTATTAAAAAATAAAACTATATAATTTTTATTTTTAAAAAAAATACATTAATAAGGAATTCATTGTTAATTGTTATCAATAACTATTTGATAACAGCATTTTAATTAATTTAATAAAGTTCAAAGTATTAATTGAAACTTTTTATTATTCCTTTATTATAAATTGCTCTAATTTATTAAGGTTTAATAGTAACTGCTTTTTGCTTTTCCATAAGTTTTTGATATAAAACTTGAAATTTATAATATTAATAATACAAAATAAAAAATTTTTGTTTTTAATATAAAATCTTTTTAAGCAAAAGCTATTTTTTAGTATTTCAAAAGTGGTTTAATACCATTGTTTATCATATTTTAATAAAGAAAAAAATGTCTTATTAAAAAAAAAATACTTTCAATTATTGTAATTTTTTATGACTTCTTCAATCTGTTTTTTTTATAAAAATCTTACTCTTTAAAAATCTCACTATTGCTTGGAAAAAAATAAAGTTTTAGTTAAAGCAACTTATAACATTACATCAAGTCAGTTTTCTCCAGTCTTTTTACCTCAAGGCTTTTTTATATCACCTTTTATCAACTGTATCAATGCAATTAGCATAACACATTGAATCAAATTTGTTAACTTTTACATAAACTTATTTGATTTTATACTAAGTCAATCTGTTCACTACAAGTACAACTCTTTTAACCAATTTAAAAATATTATCAAAGCAAACAAAAACTTATAAAAGCTAATCAGATTAAATAAAAATGTTATTCCATATTTTGAATAAAACTAATAATTAATCAACTCTTAACAAGATCAAAGCTTTACAAAAAATACTTAATACTATATATATCTAGACAATTTTTGCCTCAAGTATGATATTGAAGAAGAAACAATAAAACATATTATATATTGTTTGCATAGTAAAAGATATCTTATCAAAAAAACCAAAACTTATTGATCTAATTCAATCCATACATGTGGTCATATTACCATAAAAGGAAATTTGATCGACAATACGATTCTGAATTAAATACGAATTCCAATTATTTATTATGTGTTACTTAGTAATTCTACCATAATATGGTTTTTGAAAAATGGTAGAATTCAATTCCACCACATGTATAATTCAATCTAATCAAACCAATACTAACCTACAAACAATAATATATATCGATTCTTCAATGCAAACTTCCTATCTAAATTCCATATTTTTCAAATAGTACTGGATATTTAATTCTATCTCTTTGATGACATTAGAAAAAATAAAGAGAAAATTTCTAACAAATTATTGAAACTATTATATAAAGTCTGAAAACAAAGATCTGAAATTGCAATAACCTCTTCCTTTACAAAAATAAAATAAAAAAAAACCAAACCAATTATCTTATTATATCAAGCATAAAACAATAATAATGTTTTTAATACAATTTTAAATATTTTAGAATTAAACCACTTAAATACTAACAAAAAACATGTTTTCTATCATAATAACATCTTTGTTTTGATAAGTATTAGCCATTTGACATTAATAATATTAATTCACTCATACAGTGCACAGTTGACAGTATTAATTTAGTTGCAATAGGCTATAATTAACTTACTTTATAAAGATTGTTAATGTTGTAACAGATAAAATTGGGATGTGACATCCATCACGTAACCAATTGTCACGTTAGTACCTGATGACTATAAAATATTAGGTAATAAAGAGAGAGTCAGAAAGGATTGTAAAAAGAATTATGTCATCCAGCTTAGTTATGACATTATTATTAGCACTTATTATTTCATAGCCAAGACGTCATAGTCAGATGTAACAAAAGAGAAGTATAAATAATATGAAAAATATAAGAGATATAAGGCAGTCATAAAACAGATAGTCATAGCGAGTAAAAGAAAATTAATAAAGACTCGGTCAAATAAAACACATCTCAAATCACCTTTCATTTACTTACCCTTGTAACAGTTATGCAAATCTCTGCCAGAGTGAGCGACAGACTTACCAATACATCGTTACAATGTACAGATTATAAGCAAATATTTAATAAAATCATTTATCTAATGCTTATTGAAAAAAAAACCTCCTAGTTTATAATATAATTAAATATTCAAAATTAACTAGGATTATTTTTAATATAATTATGTTATTAAAAAAAAATAATAAGAAAGTATATTTTAAACTAGTAGAGTATTTTTAAAAAAATTATAATAACAAAATTAAAGAATACTAGTTAAATATTTAACTAAATCAAGTTTTACAAACTTATTATCAGAAGATTTTGATAATAAATAAAAACTATAAATCACTTTGAAAATTAAAAACCAAAGTTCAAAATACTATAATAAATAGCTTGATAACAAGATTACTTTTAATAATAAAATAGTTTTAAGAAAAATTAAGACAATTTGTATATTCTTTGATTTAAATTTAGATAATAACTATTGTTACAATTGATTTTTGCTCAATATTTTTATTTATTTTTGTATTAATCCATTTGTATTTAGCTCTTGAAATGTTCTCTTTTTGTTTTAAAATTTCTATATTATTAATCAACTGTAGTATCTCATTTATTTTATCTACTTTGTCATCTCTTCTTATTTTGAAATATTCTTTAATTTTATTTACTTTTTTTTTGCTATCTTCACCAGAGTATTCATCTCTATAAATGTAAGTATATTTGACTATTTTGACAAAAATATCATTTCTTCTATAACTATTATCTTTATCAAAGTATACTACTATCATAAATACAAATTATATATTAAAAATATGTATATAATATCTTCAATTTTTTTTGGAATTGCAAGGTTAAACTTTTTCTTTATTAATAAAATAACTTGATCTTTATATAACAAATTATCTTTGCCTCTTTTACTTAATCTCATACATCTTAAAACTGTACTAATTTTAATTTATGCTTATAAACTTTAGTATATCATATTTTCACTAGTATCAGCGAGTCTGTTGCTAATAAAAAACTAAGATTCACATAATAAAAGTATGTGTTTTTATTTTAAGTGAGGTGGATTTGATTATAGCTGAAAATGATTTTTATTAATTTTTCTTTCCAATGATTTTTCTCTTTTTTCGATACAATTATAGTTCTTTTATACATCAAATTTAGTAATTATATAAGTATTTACAATGAGAAAATAATATAGACAAAAAAAAAAGTAAAAATAAAATAAAATAACAAAATCGCAATGAAGCTATTATATAACACATCATTGTTTTGACTTCATCATATATAATTAATTAATTTTACCAAGCAGAGGTGTACCATATGACTTTGTCCAGTCTTTTTCTGCTTATGTAATATTTTTTACCAAACCTCCCATTTTTCATATGTGCCAGCTATTGTCTCATTATAGCTTATTTTAATTATGGCATATAACATGTCTTGATGACTAATATTAGTAACATTCACATTGTCACTTTCCATGTTACAATATTAATCCATCTATTATAACATGGAAAATAGCAATATAAATTACACTTATACTGATTGCCAAGAAATATCATATGCTATAATTGGGACAAGCCATATTGAACAATAAATAGTATATATAAAAAAGTATAAAAGACTTTAATAGAAAAGTATAACATAATCAGAGAAAGACCAGATGAAGTCACATAATCAAGGCTTTGAAAAGTACTGAACTGATATTGAAGTGATATCAAAATAATACTGATTTATAGTAAATTTAATATATGGGTTGTAATCTACTTATATAAATTTTTAGTAAATTTAAGTATCAAACAAATATTAAAATAGTACTGTTAGGAACCCTATATATGATCCATCTTTATTTGGTAAAATTAAGGAATTATGTAATATGATAATAAAAATAATGATATATTATATAATAGCTTCATACAATTCATCATTTTCTTTTTTTTTTACTTGTTTATTTTATTTTTTTATTGTCAGATTCTTATGTAATTATTGGATTTATTGTATAAAAGAATAATGTCATCAATAAAGAGAGGGGAATTAATAAACTTTTTGACCATAATCAAATCCATCTCACATATAATATAAAATACTTATTATTATTATACAAATTTTAGCTTTCATTAGTAACAGACTTGCCAATAACTATGATACTATATAAAGTATCTCTCTATTATTAGTTCTTTATATATATCTTTTTTTTAAAATAGAATGATATATGACAAATTGTAATAACTGTAAAATATAGTTCATTAAGTCTGAAGAAATTGTAAAAAGACAAATCTTAAAGAAAACTATAAAAACTTTGTTTAGTATTGAAAGTATTTATAACAATAAACAGTCTATAATTTGGAAATTCAAAGTCTAATAAAAAGAATACTAGTAATAAAAGATTTATGATAAATTATTAAATATTTAAACAAATTAATTATTTGTATAATTAGCTATACTTAAATAATTCTGAATTAACTAAAAAGGCTTTTCAATAAAGACAGTTAGACAAATCCTATATTGTTTGTTTTCCTCCTATCAAAAATTACAATCTTTATTTTATCTATTTTTAAAATTGGTTTTATTTTATCTTTTCTGTTTTTCAATATTTATTTAAAGCCTACTATTATTTTATTCAATACATTAGTATCTTCTTTTTCCATATTAATACAATAGAACAATTAATTTATTTATTAGATACTCTAAATCAATACACCTTAACAGAATTGTTAAAAAAACTTTTGCAATATTTAATATTTATTATAATTTTGTTTTTGATTCTGCAAACATTGATATTATTTAACCTTCTCCTTCCCTTAATATTTTTTTTACTACCCAATTAATTGATAATAATTTATTTGAAGATACAAGTTCTAATTCATTTGAACATATTTTAATTACCCCTAATATTATATCTAATAATCATCTTATTAATTATTTATTCAATTATAACAAAAAAAAAACTCTTTCCTGATTATTCAGATTCATATAAAATCTACAGTAATCAGCCAGGAGTATGCCCAAAGGCCCCACCTGCCATGAAAATACATAGCAGCTGCACTCCCAAGAGCAAGGGACCGCTCTCCTCCACCCAGCAACAGCCTCCAGCAGTCAAAAGCTAGCAAAAACAAAAGCAAAAACAGCAGCTAACAGCACCGAAGCAGGTAGCAGCCAGCCACCTGGCTGGATAGCTACCATAGAGGAGAAGGTAGACGCCTTCTTCGACTGGACAGTAGACACCCAGATGGACACAGAGGAATCCCA